TACATATGTACATAAAAAATATATTTTTTAATTGTAAAGATATTAGAGACTAGAAATCATAAACTATTCTTGGAAAGTATTAAATGTTTTTAAGCTAAAAATAGTTTAATAAAGAAGAGATGTGGACCAATTTGTGCACCAATTTGTCATGTCCAACTTCAAACATCTGCAATAGTAGCAATTTACGGCGCGTCTTAGTTGTATTGATAGATAGAGAAAAGTTCTATTGGAAAATATTCTTTTCCAGTACTGCAAAAAATATATAAACATTTTTTATCGAAAAATTATATATAACGTGTATAAGAAATGCAAATTTATCTTTAAGTATTAGACAGAAAAAATAATAAATTTTGGGCAATGCACTTAAAAAATCCAATTTGTAATAGTACAAATATATTCACACATGTACACAATGCATTATTGCATTATGCAAAAAATGTGCAATTTTTGCAAATTTTGCATAAAAAAATTGCACAAATTCTACAATATTTTAGATCTTAGCTAGGAAAAAATAATTTTTGCAAACATTTGATCTATTGCTTGCACTTCGCTTTGTTTCCAGGTCGTTTCAAATCGACTTCCATCAGGTGGCGACAGAGCATGGCAGAGAGCCAAGTACAAACGTTTAAAAAGAATACTCGAACAATGAGCGGGAGTCTTCAGTTTAAAGAGGATGTAGCTATAATTTGAATCAAGTATTAGTTTAAATTTGCATTACAAAACGACGTATTCGTTAAAGATGATGTCCTAATATCACCATTTTCGTGCTTCACATATGCTTTATTTGCCTTATTATATATATTATATAGTGTTATACACATGCACGGTTTCTTCATCAAAACAAATAAATATTTATTTATATTTATATTATTGTATTTAGAAAAAGTTAATAACTCCGATTTTATAAAAGTACAATGTTTTTAATTGTGTGTAGCTTTCAAAAATTATGAGAAATTATTTCAATATTTCTTTCACGAGATCATTCACGTATGAAATAACTTACATGTTATTTGCAAAATTAACTTAATTTTTTTTCGCGCGTCAATATCGGGAGTAATGTAAAAGAGTCAAATTTAGCTGATTGTGAGCTTAATATTTTTAGATTGTACGGGCAACATTATAGTTGCAACATTGTTCAGCTACGGTCGATCACGTTTTGATACGATCCTTGCTGTAGATCACTCTCCAGAAATAGCGCCTCGCGCATTCCTGAGACTTTACTCGCTTTGGACGGAAAGGTATCCTCGTATTATGATTTGCACCGATATTCCATGATTTTGTGTCACACCTTTCTTCATCTCGCCGAGTGTTCTTTTTTTTATGTGATGATTGTTTTGACTTTCTTTTTGGACCGATATGTCTTGATGCGCATCAAAGATATATCTTGTATTAATTATTTTGTTTTTATTTAATTATTTATTGCCTATTGTCAAAAAATGACAACTTGAATTTTAATTCTTACATAACTGATTTAATCAATGTTGGTTAATTTTAATTGTAAAACTTGATTCTTATTTTGTCATCTTGTCTATCTTCTAATTCTTCTAATTCTAGATTTGACTAATTAACAAATGTTGATAATATTAATTACATAGCACATAATAGTAATTATCCATTATAATGGTAAAAAATAAGAGCTAGAGATAATGTCAAGTTATAAGATTATAAAGAAAATAAAAGAGATATCTGTATATTTTGTATAATTAACGAAAAACATAACAAGTGTAATTTGAAAACGATAATTTACCTTATTTAATAACCACGTATTTCTGAGAAAATACCAAAACACATTCCCGCAAACAGCCTTGTCAGCATTATCAGCTTATTCACTAAATATAAGCATACCGCAAAGATTTTATCTATTAAAGAAACATAAAGCTCCAGTATTCAAATTAGTATCGAATAATACAAATTCCAAGTGTATTACAATAATTTAGTTATAAAAATATTTTTATAATATTTTAGCACAATCGACTTTCATGGTGAAAATTCACGAAAGCCATACATATTATTACTGCATAGTGTTATACACATGCCTTATTATTTATATATTAAAATATAATAAATTTATATATTGGATATATTATATATTTTGCAAAAATATTACTTCACATCTAATTCTATTTTTTGCAATAAACTTTGAATAAATCTTATAGTTACTTGTAGATAGACGTTTTTTTTATATACATATATAATTAACAGATATTTCATAATGAAAATTGCTTTGTCATAGTACTTTGAATGAATGACATTGTTATACTTATCGTTTTTTCCTTGTCATTTTTTCTAACTGCCAAATCAGCATTTTATATTGTATTACGTATATGCAAAATTATTACTCTCATTAGCGTGCATGAAGGCTCGTTATAAACTTCGAAGCTTTGGTGACAAAATATATCGCGCTGAAATATAATGCTCGAGAATAAAATAATAATTTGTTTGAGAATTTTAAACAGCATGCATTTATTTATTAACAAATTATATTTATTCATTATTATTTCTGTATTGCAACTTTGATTTAAAACAAATTGAATAAAAAATGGAAAATATTTAAATGTAATCATATTATTGCATAATATATAATATAATAAATAAATATATACCATTATATTAATAATGCTAATTATTATTTTTTAACCTATTATTATAAAATTATCACCGTTTACTTAAATGTAAATAAAGAAATATTTTTAAATTATTAATTGTATGTATAATTGATATGTGAAGATTAAATCGGGAAAATGCGGCAAAATATGGATATTGGAAAACTTGACAAGAATAACAGGTAATTTTACGATGCAGACTTATAAACAAGCTATAAGTACTTCAAAAGATTTGAATGTATTAGTTATATTCATATAACGCGGCAAGAAATAACGTGTAAACTATTACATATATGTATATTAAATTTGATTTTCTTATTGCTCTCTATTAGAAGTGCACTATTATAAGAGAGAATGTATCTACATTTTAATATTGAATTCGATGTCAAATATTCAAGTGAAATGTTTAATATGTTATGCAAATTAATAAGAAAAGAGAATATACATAAATCAATCTTAATAAATTAATACTTTTAATAAAAGTAAAAAATTATATATAT